ATATTATTGATACATTTGCTTCATCAAAAGCACAGAAAATTTAGACATAGTAATTAGTTTTATTAATGTATTATAATCATATGATTATTAAACATATGTATCTCCTTAGAGATAATAAATATTTACTTTTTTATTGTTTTAAAACTGCGCGTTTTTAAAATATTTCTTTATAAATATGTAAAATAAATAATAGATATCTTTTGAACTAATTCTACATTTTAAAATCTAGTCTTGTTCTCTCAACTACATTTTTTGTCTCAAATTTAAAGCCTAGCTTGAATCTATGACTTTATTTATTTTACTTTATTTATTTATTAATTTGCTAGTATATTTTACATATAATATTATATGGTTTTCGAATGGGGCGCTAAAAGGGTATTGTGCCCCGGGCGCGAGTTAAGCTCGCTACGCCACTGACCCTGAGCTTGTTTCTTTGCAATGAGACGGTCCCATCTGGGGGCAATCGGAGACAATGACACCCGAAGTGTGTTGCTTATGTCCTGTTTATTCCGTTGCTTTGTTTTGGTTGCTGTAACTGCAGAAAACCCCGCTTTACACAGATAGGTTGTCGGAAATGGCAATAGGGATTTAAGTGCTGTGGTGGCAATCTCGGGGCATTTTGCCAATCTCGGGATATTCTACCTTCCGGGCCCCCCTTTTTTTAAATAAATAAAATTTTAATGGAACATAGATATTTTTAATTTGGGGTATAAACCTAGGAATTGAAATTCAGTTTCAATGAAGTGGGCGGCCCAGTACCATTTGATCCACGGACCGGAGGTTGGGGAACATTGACTTATAAGACTAATTTTTTTCCAAAAAATTTAATCTTTTTTTTTTTTATTTAAAGAAATTGTTAATTTGTATTTTGAATTTATGATGTTATATTCACAATTTTTTAATTATTTAATAAAATTTAAATATTGTGTTTGTTGTTTAATTTACTTTGCTTCTTAAATCAAGGTGACCACAGAACAGGGTGAGCAATAAAAAGACAGTAAATTTGATAAATGTGGAAAAATCAGGGAAATGTAACAAAAATACCCAGAAAATTAGGGGAAGAAATTAATTTTTGTTGGGTCACCTTTAGGACTTTGATAAACAAATTTGGTTATGTAATAGTTTTTTTAAAAAAAATTGTTAGCATTTAAAATTAATGAAATTATTTTTGCATTTTTTAATTCCTTTAGAAAAATTTAAATTTTGTGTTTGTTTAATTTACTTTACTTCTTAAATCAGGGTGGCCACAGTACAAGGAGAACAATGAAAAGTGAAATGAATTAAACAATGAAATGAATGAAACAGTGCATGAGCAATGAATGAAACAATGAAATGTATTTTATAAATCTTATAATAGTTTTTTTTAAAATTTAGTGTAATTGTTTATTTGTATTTCAATAAAAAATTGCTCATTTTTTTTTCAATTTATTGTACTTCAATTCATTGTGACAATTGTTTGATTCCATAATTCTAAATAAAATAGGATGTGCTATAATTATGCTAATTTTTACAAATAATGAGCGTTTATTAAGAAATAGCAACTTTAATTAACCTTAATTTTTGTCAAATTAGATCCTGAGTGGATATATCCTGAATATATGATGTATCGAAGTCAATTGGTTTCCACCATAGAAGCTGGCTTCTACGGAGGAAACCAATTCACCTGGCTTCACCATAGAAAAGAAACTATTACAAATAAATTTGTAATTATGATAAACCATATTAATTTGATTCACAGTAGAATCTAAGAACAAGCAAATGAGTGGGTAAAAGAGTTTACACGAATGGTTTAAATTTGTCTAGATGCCAACAAAGATTATACTCTTATTCTGGATATTATGAAAACTTAACCTCAATGAACCCATGGCATACAAATTTGTCACTGTGGAAAGCGCTTTTCTTTTATTTACTGGTAAACTATTTAATAAATCAAAAATAACATTAACAAATAAAACTAATTAAGAGATGTACAGCTGTTTGGATACTATATACAAGTATCATCAATAATGTAAAATTTAAAATATTGTAATTTTATCATTAATATTATAAAAAGTCTGACATTAATGTCTCAGTCTGACACAGCAGAAAAGTCTGACTTGAGGATGACATACAGCTGTTTGGATACTATATGCAAGTATTATTAATAATGTAAAAATTCAGATATTGTTATTGTATTATTAAAATTGTAAAAAGTCTGACTTTAATGTTCAGTCTGACATCACAGCAGAAAAGTCTGACTTGTGGATAGCATCAAAGCAACTGTATATCTCTTAGTTATTTTTTTGGTGCTAATTAAAATTTTTCCTGTTTCATTATCGCAACACAATCATAGCATAACTTTCTATGTATTTTACTCCAACTTTTCTGAGTGAACTTATTTTTGCAGATAATTGACGGTGAGGTTTTATGTGTGCATGGCGGCCTTTCACCATTGATACGTACTCTAGACCAAATTAGGATTATTGAAAGAAACCAAGAAATACCTCATAAAGGAGCATTTTGTGATATCCTTTCTTTTCTATTGTTTTAATTCACTTAAAGGAATGATTTGTTTTAATTACAATAGAAACTGCTACCGGTATGACTGATAATTTTGTTTTAAGGTTTTTGCTTCCATTTAATGGTTAAGTATTAATCAATTAATTATTGCATTTAAATCAATAATGTTGCTTTGCTTTTTTATCTTTACTTCACCTTATAGCATTGTTTATTTTTTTATTTTAATTTTAATTGGAATAAATTTTTTAATTGGCTAATAATAGAATCAATGAGTTATGAAATTTTAAGTAATGTGACTTTTTAAAATTTTATTTTGATAGCTTTAGTTTTTATCTCATCTTACTGAAGTTGCCACCTCATTTTAATTTCCAATTTCAATATCTCAGCTTACAGCAGTGCTATTGAAACAATTCTAGAGGATTTAAAATGCATTGTAAAATACCAATTACCAAAATTTATCAAATTATTATATCATTATATTGTTTTAAATGAATAAATACATGTTTGTAGTGATATGAAATATTTTAAATACTCTCAACTAAGATAATGACTGTTAAATTAGGATGTTTGCGAATATCTTCGTCCCAAATATTCAACAAAAGCAAAAAACAGGCAGAGTATCAAATATTTTTTTGCAAGGTGCAATAGGTTACAAAGAAATAATTGATAATAACTTTATTTGCTTAGAACTTTTTTTAAAGATACCCATCAAAGCTTCACTTACCTTGGTTGTATGTATTTGGTGGAAGATGCTGGCATTACAATTGTTTTGAGTCTTAAAAAACTTTTTTTTTTACTAAAACTTTTATCCGTTTACTTTCCTGTTAAAATAATAAATAATTTCCTTTTTTTAACAAAAATTTCTTGAATAAAATTCTACTTTTTGCTCCATTGTTTTGTTTTTTCCATTTATAGAATGAAAAAACTAAAGAATTATGTTTGTTCATTATCAATTACATCTGCCATATTTCAGTGCTGATTCCGAAGACCGTGTCATCTTTCATGGATTATTAGTTATTTAATTTTTTTATGCTTACCAGCTTTTCTTTTAGTAATGAGAATTTTCTTTGAGTTCCAGCTTTAATTTTCTTTTTGCATAAACATTTTATGTAATGTCATAAGACAGATATAATATTTTCAGTGCTAAAAAAATGTGTACAGAAAATTTTAGGCAGCTTGGGATTTATTTATTTCTAGTTGCCATAGTGTTGCTGCATTTCTGCCACACATTACATATGTTTGAAACATTGAATGAAAAATACCTTTTCTGTTTAAAATAAAACCATCATTTTTCCTTTTCAGTTAAGTTATGTAATTTTGTTGATTTCAATAGTCTTAATATGTTTTGATTATGAAAGTAACATGACATACATCAGCACAATGCATATGTAAAGGTTAAAGTTGTTCATAAATCATAAAAATGTTATATAATTTGCATCATTTTCTTTAGTTATTACGATTTTTTTTTCTTTCTTTGCATATTATTAAATAATAATGTATAAAATTAATTTGAAAAAAATTATAGAACTTTAATATTGAAGGAGTTTTATTTTTTATTCTAATTCAGAGTCCTGCTATTAAATAGCTTTGTTGATAAAAAAACTTTTTTTCTTACTTTATTATCTTTTATTTGTAACGTATCTTATGATGATGCATGTAAAGTGTATCTTGAAACTTTGTTAATTAGTTTATCTTAACATTTATTACATTTGGTTTGGTCTGATCCTGAAGATGTTGACACTTGGTCTGTGAGTCCCCGTGGTGCAGGCTGGCTTTTTGGATTTAAAGTTACACATGAGGTACATTCAAAAATTTTTATACTTATATGTCAGTACTGTGCATTTACGAACTACATATTTTTATTTTTTTACGTATATTCTAATGATGATGCTTAAATTAAAACACAAAAAGTGGATTTAAAATTTGTGATGCATTGAAAATGTATTTGATATTTTTAATACATTTTAAAATGTATTTAAAACATTTTTTTAAAAATCAATAATATAATTTTAAATGACAAATAAATGTTTCAAACAAAATAGGAGGAATAGCTTTGTTTGGAATAGCTTTAGGATAGGAATAGCTTTGTTATATCACCTGCACTAGGGAATTGACATATTTCAATTATGTCTTCAAATCATAAAATACTATCTTGGTCTATAAAAATCTGATCAATAGCTCATTAGCTGTACAGAGTCATTTTTTCGCTCTCTGCACTCTATTGTATATCTTATTTTTATAACAGATTTTTATTACACTAAAATACAATGTTAAAGGTTCAATTTAACATTTTTTGCATTTGGATGATAATGTGCAAGAGTGTGGGGTTGTGGGTCCATTAGCAACTTATTCCTTTGTGGAAGATTGGAAATAATTATCACATCTCACAGGGATATATATATATATATATATATTTGCTTTTGACAGTTTCTTTTCATTAAAACAAATTCCATTATAACTTTGTCACATGTATTCAGTTTGTGTTATCCCTTATTTAAAGTCCGTCTTCAGCTTATGTGTTTTGAAAAAGAAACTGCCATAATGCTTTCAAGAAACTAGGATAGAATTGATATAGACAGGGTATCCGCGCACCTGGAAAGTCATGAAAAATCATGGAAAGTCATGAATTTCATTATTGAACAAAATTTGTCATGAAATGTCATGATTTTAACTATTTTTTTAAAAGAAAATCATGAAAAGTCATGGATTTAGGTCACTGAAAAATCTAATTTTTAAAATGGAATTTAATTCCCTCTCCCCAATTTTACGGTGTTCCGAATATCTGAATTTGTAACAAAATCAACACTCAAAGTCATATTTTATTAAAATATAAAAAGCTTTTATCATGTTCTTTAAAAACTATGGTGTTCTTTCAAAAAAAATGAAGGAAAAAACGTAATTTCTAGAATGAAGTATCTTAAATTTCTGTGATTCAGAATTATTATTATTTTTATTTTATCAATTTAAAATTCTAGCTGAAGCAGGCCAGTCAGGGGCAAATTTTTTTAACTCCGAAATGCGAACAGAAAAATCAGGAGTATTTCTTTCCTTTCTGATGAACAGGAAAAGTATATATAGAATATAATTCTGCAGAAGAAAAAAAAATTATTTACTCAGCTATTTTATTGCTTCAACTCTTTATTTACTCTGTTTTTTTTTAAGTTTAAAATCAATAAATATGAAGATGTAGAGTATAACAATTTTGGTTATACCTATCATTTTAATTAATGCTATTATAATGCTTTTTAAATTTATTATTATGTTTTTGTTCGGAGAAAATAGTAACTTCTTTAAGTCATGAAAAGTCATGAATTTTAAAATCTGTAATGTATCAGATACCCTGTATAGAGAAATGATGTCACACTAGAACAGTGGTTCCCAACCTTTTGTGGACCATCTTCCCCCTCTTGGGATTGGCTGACACATATCGCCCCTTTCTCTTTTTGATCAAAAAACCATTCATTGTTGCTTGTGAATAATCAAACACTGAAAATATGCTAAGTTATTTGATTTTAATTTAAATTGTTATGCAAATAAAGAGGCACATTTATCCTGTCATTTTTATAAATTAAAAAAAATTGTGCATCTTTTTTTTTTCAAAAAGAAATGACATTTAAAACGGAATAATCAAAACAAAAGTAAATTTTTTTAAACTCATATTTTAATGTAATCAAGAAAAAGTTAAAACGTTAACAACTAAAATTTGAGAAAAAAAATGAAGAGTGAGAAAGTACATTTTTACCACTTCAATGATTGCCCTGTGCTCGATGTATTTCAAGTTAAAGCTTGAATGTCAGGTTTTATGCTCGTCAGATTTAAACACGGGTTTCCTTTGAAGCAAATGTCCAACCTATCTCTTTGCTTTGTGAGCAGCTGGAAGACAGAACTAAATCCTCTCTCCACTATATATGTTGACGGGAACGAGATGAGAATTGGCTCAGTTTGTTTCCACAATTGTGGATAAGTGTCCATAAGCTTTACCCAAGCTAAGTCATAACCGTATTTTTTAAAGACGACTTTAGCCTCAGTCATACTTCAAATCTAAAAACTCAGTCTACAAAGCGGAAGCGAGCTTATCCACAACTTCAAAAGAGAAAGGATCGAAAATCCAATCCGGAATTTCTAATTTCATCCAATCTTTAAATCTTGATTCCATAACTAATCAAGGTGATCAATAAAAATTAAGATTTTATTTTCGAGAATCTGGATATCTGCCATTGAACACTTTCTAAGAGTGGGAAATTGCATTCGCTCTTTGCGACCAATGTTTGACTTGTAGATATCAAACTTGGCAATGAATGAAGATATGATTCCCTTAGCTTTGATAACGTTCATTTTGTTTCCTTGAAGTTTTACGTTGATTTCCTTCATTTTTTCAAAACTATCAGTGAGGTACGCAGTTTCCAACTTTCGTTGCTTCAAACTCTCACTTAAAGTAGGATCAGTGGTGTCGAGAAACTTAGTAACCGAATCCAGCAATTCGAAGAAACGGCTCAGTTTCCTTTTGAAAGCCATCTCATAGCTGTATGTAGGAGCAGGAATTCGAAGGCTTCATCATTTTCACGGCAAAGTTCTCGGAACAAACGGTTATTAGGAGAATTAGCTTTTATTTTATTGATGCCAGAAATAACCAATTTTTCGCAGCCAAAAGTTGACGATGAATGACATAATGAATGGTGAGATAACTTCGGTACTTCTTTTTTAAGGTGACCCAGAAACCCAGTATGACAACCAGACATGGTTCGAGCACCATCTGTTGCACAAGCACTTACATTTGTAAGGGGAATTTCTTTTTCCTCAAAATAATCTTTGACCAATTTAAAAATCAGCGATCCTTTTGTATCTGTGTTCAAAGTTCTTGGAAACAACATTTCCTCGTTAATCTCCTTACTCTCATTTATGAGTCTCACGTAAGCTTAAACAGCTTTGTTATCTATCACAGTTGATTCATCAATCTGCAACGCAAATTTACCTTCTTTCAAAAATCTGATGAGTTTTGATTCAACGTCGACGGCCATCTCATCAATACGCCTGGAAAAAGTATTATTGCTCAGAGGAATAGAGTGACTTATCAGATTTCTGCCACCGATACCAAAACGTATGAAGAAAATGATCTTGCACTTGAATTTTTAACTATCATAATTCTTTGTCTACACCAGAACCGTAAGTGTCATATATATTTTCAATTTCAATCTCAAATAGCTTTTGATATTAATATTATTAGCAATTTTTATCTTTTGAATACTCGTCGCCCCCTGATCACCCCCTTGAGAAGCTCTATCGCCCCCAGGTTGGGAACCACTGCCCTAGAATGAGTAGTTAACATTTAACTATATCATACTGAGAAATCTACAAGTATGTACTCTTTTTGTGGAATAAATTAAGTATCTTCTTTCATTAAAATTTTGGCTTTAACTTTTAATTACTGTCATTGCCTGTTTAATCAATAAATTTTCATAACTGCAGGGTATGTAGTTGTCCTGATTTTACTGACAAGAAATACTTTGTCCTTATTTATCCTGATATTACCTTGTTTGTTATTGTGATGCCGCTATAAGGCAATGCATATTACATCGCTTTAAAATCTCCTTTGTTTCATACGTTTAATCATTCCTAATCTCTCTTTGGATAAATAAATAATTTTTATTATTTTTAATTAAGAGAGTGAATGTAAATATTTCTATTCTCAATAAATATATTGGCTAACTTTTTATTTCGATACAAATGTATAATATGTGTGTATTTAATGTCACTACTACTGAACATTAAAATCTGTTTTTTAACCTTTCTTTCTACTACCACATTAAACTTAAACATATATGTTATTAGGTTTACTTTAATTTCCAACTAACTATTTGGCTTTAAATCTTCAGCCAAATTGTTTAAATATTAACATGAGATATTGTGTGGTGGGCTGAATTGGTTTTTCCATTGGCCAGTGTCCTTTTTTGATAATGTGACTATAATGGACATTTCCTGTACATCAAAGCAGGGATTAAATACAACTTTTAATTTGGCTGGTTCTGGGAGATTTATCTCTTATGGCCTGTCCTTATTAATATTACGTAAAATTCATTAGTTTACTTGATGTAATATTCCTTTTATTTTGCACTTCAAGGTCTGCAAAGAAAAAAAAAATTTTTTTTAATCCTGTTTTCTTTAACTGCTAATTAGATCAACTTCACCACCAACTGCACCATCTTTTTCATTATAGTCCTGATATTTTTGATTTTTTGCATATGTTCAGAACAACTAATTTTCTACCAATGCGAATACAAATTTTGAAATAATCAAAAGAAAGCAAAAAATTTTGATCCCAACATCTTAATATTTTAATTAATAATGTTAGTAAAAAATTGCAAAATTCTAACTTAGCATATAGCCGACAAGCATATAGCCTTACTCACAGGATTTATTATTTTGAACTTTTCTGGAAAATAAAACTCAATCAGCAATTTTATATTTTCAAATTTTTATAATAATGATTAAAGGGGTGATACATCATCATCATCATATCTGGCCAGACAGCCCAGGGTGGGCCAGTGCCTTCCTTTGAATTCGAATCCACTTCTCTCTACTTTTGACACTTGATCGCCAGTTTTTCTCCTTTATAGTAAGGAAATCAGTCTCAACTTTTTCCAGCCATCTCAGCCTGAGCCTACCTTTTTTCCTGTTCGTTAGGGGTTTGTGTAATAGGATTTTCTTTAAATTTGAGTCATCATTCCTTCTGAAAATGTAAGCTGCCCAGTTCATTCGATTTATTTTAATGAATTTCACAATATCTGGCTCTCTGTAGATTTTATACAGTTCAGTATTATATCGTCTTCTTCAGGAATTATTTATTTTTATCCCACCAAGGATGGCCCTCAAAACTTTTCTCTCAAAAGTGGCAATTTTATTTTCACCAGCTTGAGTTAGGTTCCAGGTCTCAGAGCCATAGGTGAGTTAAGGGGTGATACAGTTATTTATTATTTTAATAAGCAAATGTATTAGTAAATTTATCAGGTGGGATTTTGTTGCTGTGCAATTATTTGTCTCTTTCTTTTGAATTTAAAAATGTTTAATTAAAGTCAACAATACAGTGATCATAACATAGAATTTTTAAATAATAAAGAGATTATCCAACTACTTTTTTACAGAAATGTTTAACTATGTTTTCATTTCAAGATTATTAAAATTCTACTTTAAAGTTATTTTATTTAAGAAATCTTAAACTCAAAACCAAGTTTTAATGAAATATTAGCATGAATGACTTTTATCTAATTGGTAGTGGTTATTTTTTTAATGCAACAGTTCTGTAAAAATTTTCTATATATTCATCTAAACTATTATGAGCTGTTTAGTTGTAAATTTACACTGAAAACTGTTATAACTTTCTGTTTTAAACAAAGTTATTCTAAAATTAAAAATGGTTTATTTTTTTTATTCTTTTGTGAAAAAATTTTTTTTTTGTTAATACTTAATTAGAGTAAATTATAATTTTCAAATTGCCTGTTTTAAAACTTGTCGGGTTTATGTATACTGTTTCAAAAAATGTCCTGCTTTTTTTCCGGCCCACTATGAAGGCTTATTATCAAAGAAATTAGTATTTTTTATTTAGCAATTGTTTGCTTTCTAAATATTATATTAAGCTCAAATCTATTTATTAGAAAGAAGTGAAGGCATTAATAAAGTTTATATTGTTTAATTTCATTCAATTTTGTTTATTCATTTCAGTTTATGCACCTGAATGATTTAAAGTTGATTTGTAGAGCTCATCAACTTGTCCATGAAGGTATTTATCTTTTGCTATTCATTTATTTATTAATTTGCTATCATCATTTCCTCATTAACTTGTTCATGAAGGTATTTATTTTTTGATTTTCAATAATTTACATTAATAATCATATCCTAAGGTAATTTATTTTCAGATATTAATATTCAAATGTTAACAGAAACTGAGGTCCATGATTACTTTTAAGTTGTGAACCAAAGTTGGTTGTTAAATGCTGCAATGAAATGAAACAAGCAATGACAGACCTTACTACAAAAATGTCTGTAAACATTCTTATAATGTCTCAACTTTATAAATTTTGCATAATTTTCTCATGCCTATTACATTATTGAAAAAAGGATGTGTGCAAAAATAACACATTTAAAAGTATTAAAATTTTCCCCCTGTCCAGTTTTTTTTTTTAAATTTATTTTTAATCGGGTAACTTTATATGTTTAGTTTTACTCCCATATCTTCTGTTACCTTTTGGTAAGTGTCACCGAATAATTTTTTCTTAGTTCCAAAATTTTAAAATTTGTATTACTTTATTTTATCTTATAGCCGGCATTGAACAGCCAACCCAATTCTGAATTTAGAACTAAAAATGTTCAACTCCGCAGCTTTGTTATTTTAATTTCATCCCAGAAGACAAGGGAACTCTTGGATCAAACATCGTTGGGACAAACTAGTCTTTGTACAGAACTTTTTAAAGGAACCAACCTGCATTTACATTCATGGAGAGGAAAACCACAAAATCCTCTCACGTTTAGCCCGATGGAAGATTCTAATCCATAATCCATCTACCACTGAGAATATTTATGTTAAAGAAAATGATTAAGTTAAAAAGATATGTTTCTTAAATAATCTTGGTAAAGTTTTAAATTAGCGATTCCGCTTAACATGTTACATAGCCATTGAAGAGAGGGGGAGAAAAGTTATGCGTCTTCGAGGACACTTCATAACTTTTTGATTTCATCATAACAGGGAAAAAAGCAAACATCAGCAGATTAATGATGCAAAACTAAACTTTAAAGGGAAGAATGTATGCAATTAACTATTTTTGCTTTTAGAAAGAAAAAAAATATAAACAAAAAAAACATTACTAAGAAATAGAGTATGTGATGACAATTTGAAAACAACTGCAGTGATTCTGACTGTTTGTATTGACGAGTATAAATAGAAAATTTGTTCTATTTTTTTTTTTTAAATTAGGACCCGCTTTTTGTCAGAAAAATGCAGAAATTTAAATATTCTGGGCCCTAAAAATCTGTAATTTCCAGTCTAGCAGAATCAATGATGTTTGACAGTAAGTCAAGAGAGTCTAATATGATCCAAAATCTATATGCTGTATTTTACTATTTGGCTTTTTGTTTTTATTTTGCCATAACTACTTATTTGTGTTAAATTGCTTTCATGCAGTAATGAATACAGAACCTATAGATCATAGGCATAGGCTAAAAGTTGTCCATAAAATCTTTTAACTTGTCCCCTGAACTGTTTTAAATATTAATAAAATTGTGAAAGAAAAATGAATTTTAAAGTTTTGTGATAGTTTCTTTTTTTGTTGTTAAAGCCATGAAGTTTTGGAAATGTAATATTTTACAAATTCGTAGATTAAAAAGACTACAGAAGAATCAAAAAGATAAGTTCAAATGAAAACCATAAAGTTAATTTGATACAACAACTTAGGTTTCTAAATAATAGTTTAAAGTTTAATAGTTAAGTTTATAGTAAATAATAGTTAATAAATGATAGTAAATAATAGTTAAACTTTTAGATTGAATGAAAATTATAATTTTCTGTTTTTATGTTTATTAATTTGTAATAATTTGCCCTGTAATCTTGTAAGTGCATTAACATCAATTACAAATATTATCTAAATACTCTGTATTTCTATGACCGAAAGATGCTGATGTTGGCCCTTATCATTGCATTACTTTAGTTTTTGTAGCCCACTATCCAAAATATAGTTATGTGCCTCTGCCTAGTACTAGAATTTTTTTTTTTTACTTAACTGATTTTATGTATATATATTTAGGTTACAAGTACATGTTTGATGAGAAATTAGTTACTGTTTGGTCTGCTCCCAATTATTGCTATCGCTGTGGAAATATAGCAGCTGTACTGGCTTTCACTGATGTTGAAAATCGCACGCCTCTCCTCTTCAGTGCCGTGCCTGATTCAGAACGTGTTATACCTCCAAGAATCACCACGCCATACTTTTTGTAATGATATGTTAATTTATTTTGAATTTTTTTAATTGTTATAATCGCAATTTACTGTAAATATAGAAAATAATAAAGCTTTATATAAAAGTTATGTTTTAGCTATGTTTTTTGATATAATCATTATGCTGACTTTCAATATCACAAAGCCTGATATTTTTTTCAATTTATTTATTTGACAAAATAATGGATTCAATCAGAAAAATATTGGTCAAATAAATAAATGCATATTAAATTTTTTTGTAATGTACTTTCCCATAGTGAGTAAAAGTTACTAATACAGTTACCTTTGATGATTTTACATAAATAGCAGTAACATAAAATAAAATATTTTTGTTGGACATTTTAACTCTACTGCTTTGCTAATCTACCTGATTTTTTTATTTTTACAAACAGTGCCTACTGGCAATTAAATATTAAAATCACATCCTTTCTGTGAATATTTAATTTCATAATTGCTACATTTATATTTACAGAATCTACATTTGCCATAACTAACTACACGTCAGGTACATTTTTTTAATTTACAGAAGTTATTTAATATATTAAATCATTTGTTTGATTAGTAAAATTAAAGATTCAACCTGATTTGAAAGTTTATATGAGTTATTGTTACTTTCAATATTTCCTTTTAAATAGTAAAATTTCAAGCTATTTTCTGACATCTATTGAAGATAAAATTAATGTTATTGATTAAGAAATGATCATTGACATGAAATAATGCTTACCATTTTAAAACAGTTTTCATTTGAATTTCTTCTTGCTTCTTGATATACAAATTTTTTAACTATCACCCTTCAATTTCCCTACAGTGTATTCCACAGCTGTACTTTATTTTTCTTCGTAGACAGCAGAATGAAATTTGTTATTTATATGCTTTCAAAAAAGAAAATTCTAATTATTCTGACAAGAAAAAGCAGAATTGTTAAGTATTTAAAACATAAGTTGTACAAAATTTGATTTATTGAAATGTGATTTTACATAAGCAAGTTCTGATATTGTAATGATTCTGTTGTTGCAGATTTGATTATAAAAAGTGGCTAATTTTATATTTCAGTGATTTATTAGTGGCAGTCACTGGAAACTGTTTAATTTATTCTCGCAATAACTTTTTATAAGAAATACAGGTTATCCGCACACCTGGAAAGTCATGAATTTCGGTATTGAACAAAATTTGTCATGATTTTAACTATTTTCTTAAAAAAATCATGGAAAGTCATGGATTTGAAAATTTTTATTTTTAAAATGGAATCTCCCCCACCCAATTTCATGCTGTTCCGAATGTCTGAATTTGTAACAAAATTCCCACTGAGTCATATTTTATTAAAATATAAAATGTTTTTATCATGTTCTTTAAAAATTATGGTGTTCTTTCAAAAAATGAAAGAAAAAACATCATTTCTAGAGTGAAGTATCTTTTAAACTTCTGTGATTTCAGAACTATTATTATTATTATTTTTTTTAATTTTCTCAATTTAAAATTCTAGCTGAAGCAAGCCAGTCATTGGCAATTTTTTTAAAATTCCAGAAAAATCAAGAGTATTTCTTTTCTTTCTGATGAACAAGAAAAGTATCTTTAGAATATAATTCTGCAGAAAAAAAGAAAAAAAAATATTTGATCTGCTATTTTATTTCTTCAACACTTTCTTTACTCTGTTTTTTTAAATTTAAAATCAATAAATATGAAGATGCAGAGTATAACTATTTTGGTTATACCTATTATTTCAATTAATGTTATTATAATGCTTTTTAAATTTATTATTCCGTTTTTGACGGAGAAAGTAGTAACTTCGTTAAGTCATGAAAACTTCTTGGAATTAGTCATGAATTTGAAAATCTAAAATGTAGCAGATACCCTGGAAATATTGTCTATTTTCAATTTTAATATTTAGTAAAAATGCTTTTTAATGTACATGAATAAGTTAGAAGTAAAAAATTAATAAAGTTAACCTCATCAATTACAATAATCAGGGAAATTTGATAAAATCAGTTAAGGAAATATCAGGGAATTTCTTCAGTGTTTATGACAACCTTTTTCAATATTTAATTTTTGTTTAACCAGCATACTTACACTAAAATGCAAAACATTCTCACTGGCAGTATTTTCTACAACTTGAAATTTGTTACCCGGAATAAAATTGTGAAATAAAAAATATATATATATTTATAGAGGGAGTAAATACGAAAAAAAGAAATATATTTTCTTATAATAAATAATAAGAAAACTTCACCTACTTAATGACTGTTATCTAACTAAAATTTTTTGAGTCATTAATTTAAAGATAAAATCGTGATTGATAGTAAATTTAAAAATTGGGAAGCTTTCATTATCCTGTCTGCTCTTCTCACTTTGCAGAAAGAACATAATCTTTCTGATTTGCAGGTATGCCCTAACAGCTTTTTGTTTTCATAATTAACACAATAAATAATTTATGTGATATAATAAGTTTTACTTACTTTGAAAAGATTATTTATTAAAATTTAAATACAAGTTTTGAAATAAATATAATTTTCAAATACATTTTAAATATAATTTTGTAAAAATAAAACATTGTATAATGTATTTGCTTGTTCAAGAAAGTAAACAAAAGGTTTTTATTCTTTTCTAATTAAATTCATTCACATCTTTAATAAGTTAAAAGCAGATTTTACAAGTTGCAACAATTTTTTTTAAAGTTTTAACGTAACTGATGAGTAACATTTTCATATATTTAAAATGAGAAGAAAATTGGACATTATTATTATTTAGAAGAATGTTATTACTTTACAATTATCACCCATCTATTTGTTTTATTTTTAATCCCAAATTTGTAGAGTTAAAAACAATGAAGGGACAATGTAGTAAACAAAGAAAAAGAGACATGAAGATCAAGGGGATGGAATGTTCATTTTTCACAAAAAGGATTGGATCGTCATTTAGTGCATTCTGAGGATTACTAAGTTTTGGAAAATCTATAACTTGAAAAATCGGTTCTCCCTGAAGATGGGTTGTTAAATGGAAAAACTTTGTTCACACTCAAAATTGTTTTTTCTCCAAATCAGCTTTTATGGACCAAACCAGCAAAATGAGCAATAATCAATATCAGGATGAGTAGCCAAATTATTCAACAAAAAATAAGCATCTTTTAAGCGCTCAAAAAATATTTTTAAGCACTTTAAAAAATATCATTATTAGGCAGGCTTGGAAAGATTTGACAATTGACAATTTTATCTTGTTTTAACCGTCATGTTAAAAAAAAAAAAAACTTTTGGTATTGTTTTTTAATATTGTCCAAAATCATGAAGTTTGAATAATGTAAAACGAATGGCGTTTTCATACGCTACGTACTGACAATACGCCAAGATAGATTGGGGTTGAATGAATTGTGAAGAAGTTGAATCGAACAATATGAACTGTGTCTTTTTGCATAATTCGTAGCGAAAATCAACATGGTAAAGGAAAAAATTCATTTCGAAAACGGGAAGATTAAGCACTTTTTAAAAACACCCAATGAAAAAAAGCACCCTTAAGGGCATTTAAAAATCGAAAATAAGCACCCTTAAAAAATGCTACGCACCATGAATATAGATTATAAAAATTAAAAAAATATCTTAATAGTACAATACTGTTGATAAATAACTCAAAACTGAAACAGAGCAACTATAACTAAGAAGAAAAAAATACTCCATTGCCTAACCCCAGCAGTGGTTAGGGAACAGGTGGAAGCAAATCCCTTGCAAGATCTTTTGATGCTGTGTCTCATAATTTTGGGTTTTTTTCTTTTTACAAACGGCCTGTACTAACCATTGGAGAACCGGTTTACATTATTTCTATATAAGCGAGCCTTCTTCTCTTATGTATGTTCTTTGGATGAAAGTTGTAATGCAGAAGATATAGAATATTTGGTCCACCACCTTAAGCAGCTGGTTTCCTTACAACTCATGCTGAAGCTAAATAGCCATATTGGCAGATGAATCATCTGTTGCCATCAAAGCTAACTGTGGGAAGGTTTTTTTTCCCTCTAGTTAATAAAAAAAATCGTTCAGAAATTTGAATTTCTGGATTCAGAGATTCCTGTATTTTCTAAGCTTAATTCAAAATTCAAGTGCTTAATTAGAGAAACATAAAGGGACATTAAAAAAATATGAAAAATAATTTATCCTGCAAAATCAATAAATGTGTATTTTAATAGCTTCCTGGTGTTTTTAAACAATGTGATTTTCTCAAGTTCAATAAGCACTTCAACAGAGAAAGCATGATAGTTTAGTTTTATAAATTTCCAAAGTTAATTATTAATCAAGCTAAACATAAAATATATATTTGTTTCCAACTTGTTAGAAATTAGAACAAGCACAGCTCACTCCACAAGGGATTGGAATATTCCACATAAAAACCCACAACCAAGAGGTTGCAACTGTAACTCATATAATAAAAGTGCTTGAACCTCTTTCCCAGATACCAAGCATGAGGCAAGTATTTAGATTAGAAAGAAAACAGTTAACAGCTTATAATGAATCGATTAATATAAGGTAAATAACGGAAAAGTTGTTTAACAAAAAAAAAAAAAACAGTTAACAGCCTACCATACATGTATATTTTAAAGATGAGATTAACTCATTTTTATAATTGACAAAGTTGTTTAATAAAACAGAAAGGAAAAAAATTGTTTAATAAAGCCAAAGTTAAAAGGTTACCACGCATTGTCTATTATAAAGATAAAGTAAATAATGGATAAGAACTTAAAAAAAAAAACAGTTAACAGCTTATTAAGAATTGTCTATTATAAAGAAGAGGAAACCTCAGCTTTATAATAGACAAAGTTGTTTAATAAAACGGAAATGAAAAAGTCGTTTAATAAAACTAAACAATTAACAGCTTATCATGCATTATCTATAATGAAGATGTGAAAAATAATGAAAATGTTGTTTAATAAAACGAAACATTTAAAAGACTATCATTTTGTCTATTGTAAAAATCAGGTAAAATAATTCAAAATTTGTTTTATAAAATAAAAGTTAATAGCCCATCATTCATTATCTTTTATTATTTAATGAAATGAAAAAGTTAACAGTCCATCATGAATTGTCTATAATAAAGATGAGGTAAATAATGAAAAATTATCGAATAAAAGTGATAAAATAAAATGCTACTCTGAAGGTTACTTGACTCGTGTATTATAAATAATCGAATTCAATAAGTTTGCAACTCAGATAAACAACAATACAATAAAAAAGAAACAATGTAACATGATTTTATTCTAAAAGAAACTCAACATTATATCAAAATAAAAATATATAATCTAGAAATATTAATATAAAATTTTAAGAATAACCAATATCACAACATTTAAGGCATGATTCCAAAGTCATCGAATATTTGTTTCGTTTAAGGGGAAAAAATTTTAAGTAAATGCGCAGTTACAGAAGAAGTTTTGCAGCTTCTCTATCTACAATCCAATGAAGTTCTCCTTGAGTGGGACGTACCAATGCTGCTGGAAGGGGTTGTACACTGTTACCTTCCAGGATTTCCTTAAAAAAAAATCAAACATTGTTAGCATTACCATTATATTTACAATTAATTATTTAATAATATATTGGAAGTAAACGTACCAACTCTTAATGTTTGCACACTAATTAATAGGAATAAATTTATTCAATATTTAATTTTTATATTACATACAGTGATAAAATTAAATTATTTGTACCAATATTTATTTGTAAATTACTAAAGCGTTGTTAAAAAGTTTAATTGTTTCATTAATTCTAGTACGGTAATGACTCTTATCAAAAGAATGAATTGATTTACAAATAAATGAAAGATTTCAATAAAAACCCTAGAGTTTAAAAAAAAAGCCGATTTTTCTGTTTTGGGACTGCTTTAAGCATTCTTCGATCAATTTTGATATCCTGTTTTGGGGCTGTTTTAAGCTTTTTCCAATTTATTCTGATATCTTTACCTTTGGTTGGAAAAGTGTTTTGACTTTTTTTGTCAATGAGCAAGTTAACCATATCAACATATTGTAGATTTGAGATAAACTAGAACTCTTTTAGAACTAGCCAGAAAGGAGACATAATACAAATACAAAATAAATTACTACATTGACTCAAGGTCAGAATGTGTCTATAGGAGGTGTTGGCATCACATAATTATCGTGATGCATCACGTTTCAAAGTGTAAGTGAAGACATAGTCAACTTCTTCCCCCCACTAAGTTGTAGCAGCAATCACGTAACTATATGGATGGACACAAAATTGAAGTCGAATGTGTCAATAGAAAACACTAAGATATAAGCTTCATATTATGTAATTTAGAAGCCAGTTCTATATGTGTAAAGTCATAAAAAAATTTCTTTCCTTGTACAAAAATGCGATTTTTCTCAGTAAGTTAAAAAAGCTAGGACTATCTATCTACTAGGACAACCATCATATTTATTTACCACATTGACTCAAAACTAAGGTCAAATTATGTCTACAGAAAACACTGAGATAAAAGATTTGTATTATGGGATTAGAAGAAAATTCTACATTTTGGAAGACGTAGCAATTTCTTTCCATGTACAGTAATGCAAGTTTTTTGAACAACTTACAGCAGCTAGTTTAGATTGGAGCAACTATCATATCAATTTAATTACCACATTGATACTAATTTGACACTGATTCCGTCCATAGAAAACACTGAGATAAAAGCTTGTGACTAGTAGCCAATTCTACATTTATGAAGATGTAGACATTTCTGTCTCAGTGCAAAAATACCTCTTTTTTTACAGGTTTTAGCAGCTAGGGTTAATTAGAGCAGCAATTGTATCACAGGAAAAATTATTATTAACATTTTTAACAAAAATTGATTCAAATAGCTGATGTTAAAAAATAAAAGATATTGTAAGAGAAATTAGTCCATACTTTAAGTATTTCAGCCTTAGATTCTCCAATAGTAGCAAAAACAGCACACTTGGAATTATTCAAAACTGGCAAGGTCAAAGTTATGCGGCTAGGAGGGGGTTTAGGAGAGTCATCTATGGATGCAACCCATTTCTTTTCTTCCTATAAAAAAAAAGAGAAATATGTGATTTGAAACAATTGTTTTCTTATTGAAATGAAACAATAACCAACAATAGAAATTAGAAGTACAGTCAAACCTCGTTAAGATGAAGTTGAAGGGAAACAAAAGTCTTTTTTCATTAACCAAAATTTATATTATGAAATAAAACAACAAAAGATATTTTGAATGACTAATATATATAGTATATATATATATGTATTACTAAAGCAGAGATATCGAATTTAAATGATATCTGTACAGAAATATTTTATGTTCATTTCAATTTAATCAGTATTTTTATGCAAAAAGATGCATTTCTAACATAACCCTACAAATACACAAGTTCATACTAACACAGATACATGCATGATGAAAGTATATAACATATATTTTATTTTATAGCATAACCTTCATTGAACAGCCAACCCAATTTTGGGTTTACAACTACTGATGTTCAACTCCGTAGCCTTGTAATTTTGAACCCAATCCAGAAGACAAAGGAATTCCTGAATCAAATATTGGAGGAAATTTATCTTCATGGAGGACTTTTTAATGAAGGTAACCCGTATTTGTGTTACATGGAGAGGAAAATCACGAGAACCTCCCATGGTTAGTCTGACGGCAAGGGTACTCTAAGCAATGATCCGTCTACCACTGAGGATTTTTTACGTCAGCACTGAGGTCGGTGCAAGCCGGATAAGGAATTCGTATCCATCAGCCTTTGCTGAGATTCGAAACGGGTCAACTCATTAGAAGGCGAACGCTCTATCCCTTGAGCCATCTCGGTTTTAGTATTTGCATTGTAAAATTCTTATGTGAAAAAAAAATAAAAAACTAGATAGAAACCGAATGAAATACTTTCAAAAGAATGATGAACACAAAAGAATATAACCATCAGCATAAAATTCTTTTTCTTTAAGGCCATCACTCAGGACAGAGTCATTCACTCCATAGTCAAAGGTCCATATATTGAAATGGTGACATCACTAATTGCAGACTGTTGTGAACTAATGGTGAAAACAGCCTCAGTTTCAAGAATAAATGCATTAACCTCATTTGTCTAGTTCTGGAAAAGCATAAAATTGTTTTTTTTGGGGGGAGGGGTTAATGGCAGGCACTTGTGTCTATAAGTATAAAATTGTTTCCAGGAGAAAGTTCAGGGGAAAACGATGAAAAATGTACTATGTACATGTAAATGTACTTTAATAGAATTTAGTGAATTATTTTAAATAAAAATTGTTGCAACAGGATTTTTTTAAATAAAATAATTAGCGTTTTAGGAAACGTTTTAACAAAATAAGATACTTGTAAATTTTAGTGTTGTAAATATAGTGACATGATGAATGATTGATGAGTTTTTGTTTTTCTGTCTGTTCATTGATAAGAAGGAAGTACTTATTACTAGCTGCGAAATAAACAAAATTTAATTAAAAAAAAACCATATTTTTTTAATAATAGAATTGTTATTCACCTGATTTAAATACATCACATTCCCCAATTTTTTGTTTTGTTTTGAAAAATCAACTTTTTTTTGATTTTTCAAAAAAAAAACTTCTCAAGTTGTTAAAAACAACTTGAGAAGTTGATAATTAGAAAAGCTGCTTGTTGCACTACAATGTCAGGAGACAACAAATTACTTTCCAAAGAAAATAAACCTTTTAGAAATTATTTTCAATGCAAAAGCGAACACTTTTGTGAACAATGGCAGTGATCTGATTGAGTGTTCTGATATTCTAAAACTCTGAAACAATTAAAGTGGTTTCCAAAATTAGATTTATACTTTTGTGCCAAAATATTTCATTTACTTGCATTGTATTAGGATTGTAGCTTTATTTAAAACAGCATAAGCATAAATAGTAATAATAAAGCAGCATAAACGTAATTTATAATTATCTGTTGAAAATAATTATGCAGTTCAAGTCATGGAGAAATTTTGTAAAATTTATCTCTTTTGGGATAGCTCTTATAATATTTTTTAAAAAATATTTCTCTTGAATCAAAGTACAAATTATAGTAAGACAAATACAAATTATAAAAAATATGACTATTTTGTTACCTTTAAAAGTGGATGATTGGGAAAAAGTGAGCAAGTGTGACCATCTGGGCCAATACCCAAAAGCAATAAGTCAAATTTAGGAAAAGATGATGAGATTCTGAATTCTTGTTCAATTTTGCGTGTATAGTCTTGAGCTGAATCTTCTCCTATAAAAAATACAGTATTATTAAAAATATTTATCAGTTTTATTGTAAAAATTTAATTTGTTTAGAAACTCCTAAAACTTTTAAATGGTTTAGAGAATTTAAATTTTTTTTCTACAGAGATTTCTTTTATTTTAAAAAACGTAAAAATGATTTGATGATAACTTCCATAACAGGGTGGATAGTCAAATATTTCAACAAAAAATAAGCCCCTTTCAAGTACTTTTTAAGGATTCAAAAAATACTTTCAAATGCATTAACAAAAAGCAAAATAATTTTCAAACACTTTACATGATCATGATAAAATAGCTAGTTTCTGACAAAGAAATCTTTACTTGAATATATTAGCCACTATAAAAAGATCGAGAGATTTTTGGTTCGATTTCAGAGGGTTGAAAATTAAACCTGATATTGAAAATACCTTGCAAAACGCAGCAGAGTTGTGCATGAGAGTGCAAGAATATCACCGAATTCAGCTCAGTTGACGCACACGCGGACTCGCAAGTATTTCATCAAACATGTAAAATGATCAGCATTTTCATATGCTATGGACCAACAGTAAGCTGAAATGAATTGTGGTTGAATGAATTGTGAAAACGTTGAATAGAACAATGTGAAAAAACACGCTTTTGCAAAATGCATGGTGAAAAGACATGGAAAAAAAAAAAGAAATCACATTTTCTAAAAGGGAAAATTAAGCACTTTTTAAAAACATTCAAAGAAAAAAGCACCCACAAAGGCTTTTAAAAAACAATTATGGAAAATAAGCACTTTTTAAAAACGTTACGCACCATGCATAATCTGTAGTACCAACTGCTTTAATGTATGGTTTCTATTATTTGTAACATAAATATGTTATGAACTATGTCATAAACAATAAATCAGTGATATCATAAACCCGTGAATTTCGAAATCAGAAATCCTTTACATGACAAGTCTAACAATCTTGCTAAAACTGCAAAAAATTGTAAGAAATCTAAGATGACTGTCACAATACACAGGAAGTTTTCATAGTATATTTAAAATATTAAAGTAATATACAATTCTACACTCGACCTGGAATTACAGCGACCTTTCCATTATAACGACCAATGAATAAAGCCAAGTTTTTTATTCATTAGATGCAGTGTTATTTTAAAGTCCATTAGAATGTTAGCGTTGAAACATTTATCCAATATAACATAATATTTTGATATAGAAAAAGTTTAAAAGAAGTTAGTTGAAATATTATTTCCCTTGATGTTCTCTTTTCTCTCTTAGATCTTTTCCCTCTGTAAGGAGCATAGGGCCTTTGTCCTCCATCTCACCCGGTACTTTATTTCTCTCCATGTTTTGTTTATTGTCTTGAATTAACAATTTTGATGTTACTCCACAATAAATGTCAATGACTTCTGGAGTAAATTTTTTATTGCTGAGCATTTGCTAAATGGATGATTAAAGATTGGTATAATTTCAAGGTATTTTGAAGAAAATAAATAGGATACATGTTTTAAAGGGGAGCAATTTCTATAACATTACTATTTATAATCATTTCTGAAATTCAGAAATCCAATAAAAACTAGAAATATTACATTTATAAAAAATTACCCTTTAAACTTGGATCAATAGTGATAAATTGACTCTCAGTAATTGGAATCAGAGGCATTAAATCCCGTTTATAGCACCCAAAAGTGCTTTCTTTATCATCAAAAGGAACGAGTCTTTCATCACAAAAGAAGAATTGCCATTTCTGCCAATTAGTATTGACTGATGGCAAACCTTTACACAAGAATTTAATGAGACTTCCACCTACAATTGAACAGGTATAATTAAGTTTATAATAAAACACAGGAATTTTTATGATTACAGAAAAGTACACAATGCTTTAAAAAAATAGCTAAATTTTAATCTAAGCACCTAATAGAAAAATGAAACAAAATTTCCATTTCTATCATTTTTTTTTTAAGGGAAAAAATTTATAGATAGAAATTTAATTTCTTAAAATTTCTTTCAAGAGCTTCAGTTTATAATTAGTAAAAATTTTATAAATAAAAAATTTTATAAACAACAAACAAAATTACTCAGTTATTTTTCGAAACTGTTTAGAAAATTAACAAAAACTTTTTAAAATTTCAAGATATTCAAATCAAACTTTTTTTCACAAATTTAACAAATGTGACTCAGAACAAAATTTTTATAAAAAATGTTATTTTATGTTTTTGCGCATGCACAGTATTAGTGTTATTTTTAATGTTTATATCTAAGAGAATTTTTTAAAAAAAAATTCTAAACTTTTAAACAACAAATTAAAAAGGACATAAAATTTTTTATTTAATTTTAAAGAACGTTTCTACAATTATATTAGGAAAACTAAATTAAAAAAAAAAAGTTCTTATAAAAATGATCACATTTCCATGAAATTTAAGCTAAATTTATGAAATTTTATACTGCTATTGCATATAATAACCCAAGTAATTAATACAAGTTTATTTCCATATTTTTATCATAGGCTGTTCAAAAACACTCTTTTTTGTTTATAATTTATTGCTGTTCTTCAAACCACTTAAAGCTTATAACTATAGTGACTATGAGAAATCATAAGATTTAAACACCTTTAAAGTCATAAAATGTTTCTCTAAGGATTGCTTAAGAAATTTGATTGAATGAATAGCCAGAAAACTAAAAGTGTCTTCCAGTATTGTAGGGCAATGTATGAATATTGATAGGAGTAATGATAGGAATCAATGTATGTTAGGAGGCTCTCATCATAACGGCTTCACAATCTTTATTATTTTTATTTATTATTTTTATTATAAATAAAAATAATAAATCTTTATAATAAATCTTAAATAATAAATCTTTATTATTTAAGATCTTTATTAATTTTTGCTTCAGCCCAAACTAAAATTATTTAATATTTTCAAACAGTGTCTTTCAAAAGTAGGGACTGCAAAAAAAAAGAAGACCTAAAATTTTGATTTTAGAAATGAAATCAAGAAAATTAATTTAGGGCTTCACATTTATCATTCATATGGGGCCAAAGCAAAAATGAGGACAACATTTTTTCAAAAAATCATGACAAAAATCAGGACATTTCTGGTACAGTATAAATATATCAGATTATGTATAATTTTTCTAAAAAGGGCAAACAACAAACTGAAGAAAGTTTGTTCCCCTAAAGTATAATTAAGGTAAATTTAATCATAAAATATAAACACCATTTATAATTTTAGAGCAAATTGTGCGTAGATAAAAAATTACACTCAGTTTCCAGTACAATTTTTTAAATGGAGCACTGAACAATGTTCGAGAAGAATTAAATATCGAAAGCTTTTATAATACTAGTTTTTATTAGTTAATATTCCCTCATATTAATGTTTCATTAAAGTTTGTATTTAAGTTCAAGAATTTTTTTAATAAAATAATTTTAAAGTCTGGTCTTAATTTCAAAACGAAAACAGAGTGAATATGTGATTATATTAGTTTGTACAAAAATTAATTTTTCCTCAATTTAACGATTAAAAAATCAGTAGCCCATTTCTTATATAAGTAGAGCATTGCGTTGTTAAAATTAGACAAATATTCTGTAGCTGTGTGTAATGGTTAATTATTATTATTTTTTAACTGTGTTGCTGTTTACAGTATTTTTGAGTAGAAAACACCGTAAATAACAATTTGAAAATTTAAATGGTATTTTTCCCATAATCAATATTATACAAAAATGAGCTTTTCATTCTAATAAATGCCTCACCAGATAAACCAACTCGAAAGCAGTTATTTTTTTGCAAAGTCTCATTAGCTTTGCTCTCAATTAATTTTGAAAGCGAAGATATAACTTCAATTTCGTTGGAGCATACATTTACTTCCACGGGTGCCATATTTACTAGGTAGTAAATAGTAAACACCAACTAAAACCATTACATAAAGATAAATTTAATGTTTGCGTTCAATGAGTTTATTCAATGACATTTTTTACGTGTACATTTTGATATAATTTTAAACTTGCTAAGTTTATTAAGTTGAAAAAATTCAACGGTATAAATTGTTTCTATGGAAGCAAGAATAATCCATTATGCTTGTATTGACGTCATGCTTATAATAACCAGTATTTTAAAAAAATTTTAAATTTTGAATTAAACTTTAAAAATACTATATTTTTGTAACATTTTTTTCATTAATTTCATATTTCCTTATTAAGTATAAATTCTTTTCTTTAAAGTTTAGTTTAAGAATTAAATAATCTTATTATTTTGCTGCTCCTCAACTCAAGTATTAAATTTAAAGTGTTAGTTGTAGTTGATTAAAATCTGCAAAGTTGTATACTTCAGTCAATTTTTCTTGTTTGTATTCTATATAATTATGTAAATACTAATAATAAATAAAATCAGTTTCGCATAACTTTAGTTAATGTTCTATTAAAGCACTTATTAGCCTCTTTTAGATTTGAAGTTATCATGGCTTCTTTGAAATCTCTGTTACCAGCTCCGGTTGTTCAAACTTTTGGTGATCGAGATGATATTGAACGGATCAAAAAACGCAATTCTGCTTCAAAACAGCTCGTCGTTGCTTCTCGATCTGCACCACCCTATGGTGCCAGGAAAGGTTGGGTACCTCGAGCTGTTGAAGATTTCGGTGATGGTGGAGCTTTTCCCGAAATTCACGTTGCACAATTCCCTCTTGGTTTAGGGAAGAAAAAAGAAAAAACTAATGCTAATAATTTGCCTGTGCAGCTAGATGCACAAGGAAAAATTAAATATGATGTTATTGCCCGCCAGGGCCATAGTAAAGATCGTGTTGTTTATCATAAATTTCAAGATCTTCTGCCATCAGAGATCACAAATGAGGATGATCCTACTTTACAAAAACCAAATGAGGAAGAAGTCGAGGATAATACCGAGGCAACAAGGCTCGCTCTTGAAAAACTGACTCACACTAAGATATCAGCTGCAATGCCAGTCAGGGCTGCTGAAAAGACTGGACCAGTACAGTATATACGGTACACCCCTTCACAGCAAGGATTCGCCTTCAATTCAGGTGCAAAGCAAAGAATTATTCGAATGGTTGAAGTTCAAAAAGATCCTATGGAACCACCTCATTTTAAGATTAATAAGAAGATCCCCCGTGGTCCACCTTCCCCGCCCGCACCTGTCATGCACTCCCCCACACGAAAAGTTACAGTTAAAGAACAACAGGAGTGGAGGATACCGCCATGCATTTCAAACTGGAAAAATGCAAAAGGATATACAATCCCACTCGATAAGAGGCTCGCGGCAGATGGTCGCGGTTTGCAACAAACACACGTCAACGAAAACTTTGCGAAGTTAGCCGAGGCGTTGTATGTTGCTGACAGGAAGGCTAGAGAAGCGGTGGAAACGAGATCCCAAATGGAAAAGAAATTAGCTCAAAAAGAGAAAGAAAAGAAAGAAGAACATCTTAGAAAGTTGGCTCAGCAAGCTCGAGAACAGCGTGCCGGAATACGGAGTCAACCGTCTGCTGACAAAGATGATGAGCTTAGAGAACGTGAGAATTTGAGATACGAGCGACATAAAGAGCGTGCTAGAGATAGAAATATTGCAAGAGCCGCTCCTGATAAGCGTAGTAAGCTAGAGAAGCAGAGAGAAAGGGACATAAGTGAACAAATTGCACTCGGTATGCCAAATGCAAGGCAGTCTAACGAATTGCAGTTCGATCAGCGCTTATTCAACTCCTCTAAAGGTATGGACAGTGGCTTTGGTGGAGAGGATGATTATAATGTATATGACAAGCCTTGGCGATCTCAGCAGGCTGTTAGTAATAATATTTACAGGCCCAAAGCTAATACAGATAAGGATATTTATGGTGAAGATTTCGATAAATTAGTGAAAACCTCAAGATTTGTTCCTGATAGGGAATTTGCCGGTACTGATCGCTCTGCTCGACGGGATGGACCTGTTCAGTTTGAAAAACAGGAGGAGGAAGATCCTTTTGGTTTGGATAAATTTTTGACTGAAGCTAAGAAGGCTAGTAAGCGTCCTACTGATGACCGTGACTATGATAGAGATAGAGGCAAGCGACGGAAGGATTAAGGTTAGTTAAGAAAAGGCAGGAGAGATAGCTTGTTTATATTATTTCTATTGTTTCACAATTTACATTTAATTACGATTGTATGTATTATGTTCTCTACCAGTGTTCTCCCTAAGTGTTTTTAGAAGGGTGGCTCGTCCCGGCTGCCCTTTGATTCCTATCAATGCGTCCTCCTTGCCCTTTTTGTAAAAATAGCCGCGTATCCTTCAAAAACTGCCTTTTTATTTTTTCAGGAAAAGTTTTTTTTTTTTTTTAACCACCTGTTTTAATGAAATCCACTTCTGATTCATTTAGTTATTGATAATTATGATCTTTAATTTTTAATTTCATTTCTTCATTGTAGTAAGATTTTTCTTATGCCGTCTAGTTCTATCAGGGTTTGAAAAAACCCGGGTATTTTAGTAAAAATCCAACCCTCCTGGGTTTTATTGAAAACGCCCAGGAAAAATTGGGTTTTATTTGAAAATTGGGTTTTTTCATTTAGTGCTCATAAACTTTTAAGTTTTACTGTGTAACTATTTTTATTTAATAAAAAGTGTTGTATAAGCTTAAAAATAGAAATAAATCCAAAAAGTTATTTTAATTTTGTTATGTGTATTTTATATTAAGTTTAAATAACACATTATCACTAATACATATTTAAATCTTATTTATTTAGTATTTAACGTTTCACAATTTTTAACTCGAGCATTATAAAATATAAATGCAGTAATATAAGAGGAACAAGTTTATTAATCTTTTTGTTTTCACGCACATTTATTTACAATATTTATTGAACATATATATATTACCTACCTATTATAAAATTAGAATCTGTAAATATTTATTATCAGTAAAAACAAAAATTTCATCTGACTTTTGACTTTAATAAAAAACTGAAATAAATATTTAATGATCTTCCATATTTTTATTATTATGAAGTGAAATTAAAATTACGTATAATTATAAAGAGTATCAGTTACTTGTCCCATTTTTTTCAAATAATTAGCCCTAGAAAAATTATTTCATTTTTAGATAAATAATTTTAAAAAGTTCTCTTATAAAAAGTTTTACCTTATGTTTTTAAAGCCAGAAAATAAAACTGTTTAAATTTGTTACTGTATCACTTAATAAAAAACATTGTTTCTTTTCAATTTTTTTAAACATATGAATTAATAATAATAACCTGTTTATTAATATATAAAGCATGCAACTATATTTGAAAAATTGATCTTTTCAGACTATATTATTTGAATTTCTATTTGATTTAATAGCATTAAAATATTATTTTTTGAAAACACCCACTTAAAGTTTTCAATAGTACTATAAAATTATAGAATTCGAGTTTCTTTTATTTTCCAAATATTAAAAACTTAATCATATAAATCATGCAACTCTATTTGACAAATTTATGCTTCACAATAAATTATATAAAAGTAAATGTGCAGTGCCCCCCCCCCCCAAGCTATTCGTTTTATTTAATGTAAAAATGCCCCCCCCCAAGCTTTAAGTGGGTGCATCATGCGCCCACCTTCCCCCCTGATGGGGGCCCCTGTAAATGTGCATTGCTAAGTTTTAATGAATTTTTTTTGTTGAAAAACCCCATTTATCGTTCCATGTGGGTTTTTTCAAAGTGGGCCCACTCAATAAAACCCGTGTGAGTTTTTTCAGAGTGGGCCCACATGGCGAACCCTGAGTTATGTAGTTAAAATTTGCTTGATATTTAGCCCCTGAACACTTTATTTAGAAATAAAATCCTTTAATAAATGCATTTTATTTAAAAATGTACCTCTAAATTATCAGTTTAAAATATAATAAAAAAAAACATTAAAGTTGTTAATCAAATAATCCTTTTTTTAGTTGACTTTTTATTTTATTTTGAAGAACGTTTATACACAAAAGATTGTCTTCTAGCTTATACCCTTAACTATTTTTCTATTATTTTGATAATAAATGCAAATTACTTTGTGAAATATACACATAAAATAGTTAGGGTAATTTAAAAATTAAAGATTGACAGTTATTACTTAATATTATACATTTTGATAAATTTTAATGGTATTAAGTGGCATCCTTTCAAAATTCAAAGTATCCTTTTATAGGAGGAGGCACCCTGCTCTTTTTTATTCCCATGGAAAACTCAGGCTCTACTATTTTCTGAAAGTGGAAAAATGGAAATACCCTCTTAAGTGCCTTTCACTTGAGGCAAAGTAATAACTTTAAACTATCTTGGCATGAATAATTAAAGGTTTACGTGAAATTTAAAGCTCAAAATTCTGATTTTTTTTTTTGCTTTGAGCTTTGAAAAACAGACTTGCTATAAATAGGATTGTTACGTTGTATCTGAGGTGTAATTTTAATTTTTTTACTAAATATTTAGATAAAAGGTTAAAATTGCATGTTTAAAATCATTTTGATTTTAATTATTATTATTCTTTTTTTGTTTAATGAAGTTAACCTTTTTTTTTTTAGTTTTATGTGTTCTAGAAAATTTGAAGCCATTTTTATGAAGGTAAGTCCATCACATTAATTTTATTGTATTGTTCCATTTCTTATATAGCTGTTTGTTTTAGTCTTTATCATACATTTACATAATCACCTTTTGACTCATATTGTTTGTATAGCTTTCATTGTAAATTCAAGTTACTTTTCAACCATTTTTTAGGCAGTTATTGCTCTACATTCTCACAGGGTTTTAAAAATTAAGATTTTTATTACAATGTGCAAATTTAAATAATTACTCTTTGACGCGCTTTATTTGTGCTGATTTCATTATAAGTTTAAGTGTGTTTTTTGCAATTATTGCAATGATTTTCCTCGGGATTTAGATGATCCTGTTTTTTATTTTTTTTAACTACTATGCCACACGAGTTTCTAGCCGCACATTTAAAAAATAATCACTTTTTGATACAATTTTGTGTCCATTTTATTGTAAATCCAATTTATTTTTCTACCTTTTATACATCTAAATAAGGGCCATGTATTTCCACGAGGTATTTAGAATCCCGATATTTTTAAATAATGTTATTGCAACATGAGAAATGTAAAAAATGGAGGGAGTCATTTAAGCTGCCCTCTGTTTGTAATTTAGTTTTTTTTTTTTTAGCTTAATTTTTTTTTGGAAAGAATTGAGAAGAAAATGTTTCCTATTTAAAATACATAAAACTTCTAATAATTGAAGAAATAGAAATAATATCTGAAGTATAATATCAAATAAATTTTGAATGTTATTTTTTACTATAAGGTTTTGTTTTAATTTTCATTTAAACTGTATAAATTATCTTTAAAATAATAATTTACACAATTTATCTTACTCATTAAAATACTTATATACAGGGAATCCGCGTACCTGGAAAGTCATGATTTTCAGTATTGAACAAAATTTGTCATGAAATGTCATGATTTTTACTATTTTTTAAAAAAATTTGTGGAAAGTCATGAATTTAGGTCTCCGAAAAATCCAATTTATGAAATGGAATCCCCCCCCCAATTTCATACTGTTCCAAGCATTTGAATTCCAAACAAAATCACCACTCAGGCATATTTTATTAGAATATAAAATTATTTTATCATGTTCTTTAAAAATTATGGTGTTCTGTCAAAAAATGAAAGAAAAAACATCATTTCTAGAGCGAATTATTTTTTAAACTCTTCACTGTGTGATTTAAGAATTTCTATTTTTTTTTTTATTTTATCAATTTAAAATTCTAGTTGAAGCAAACCAGTCATTGGCGAATTTTTTTTACTCCGAAATGAGAACAGAGTGTCAGGAGTATTTCTTTCCTTTTCGATGAACAAGAAAAGTATCTTTGGAATTTTTTATTTTTTAACGGCAGGCACTGAACTTTCGTTCTTCGCCTACGAAGATGCCGGAGTTGTTACTCATTTAACATTACCCAGTGGGCACCTGTGAACCTAAGTCACGGAGGTGAGCAACATTACCCACGCCACACTGCCACATACCCGTTTATAGGGTGGGCCACATTCACACATCACACAAAAGAGTACACACACAGAGCGAAACATCCATGCCCTGAGCGGAATTCGAACCCGCAACCATTGGCTTCACAGTCAGGTACGCTGACCGCTCGGCCACCTGGCCGGCATCTTTGGAATATAATTCTGCAGAAAAAAAATTATTTGCTTTTGTATTTTTTTNAAAAAAATTATTTGCTTTTGCATTTTTTTCAGCTATTTTATTGTTTCAACTCTTTCTTTACTCTGTTTTTTAAATTTTAAATCTATAAAGATGAAGATTCAGAGTATAGCAGTTTGGTTATACCTATCATTTCAATTAATGTTATTATAACGCTTTTTTTAATTTATTGTTGCGTTTTTGACGGAGAAAATAGTAATTTAGTTAAGTCATGAAAAATTCTTGGAATTAGTCATGGAAAATCATGAAAAGTCATGAATTTGAAAATCTAAAATGTAGCAGATACCCTGTATATAATTTATGCTTTCATTCTGAAAATCTTGTAATTTCTTTTATTTTCTGTTTGAATTATTTTAAAATAAATTTTTGTGTTCCGTGATATGATGGGAAAAAAAACCCATTTCATTTCCCCAATATATGTTACAATCAATTACTTTTTTTTATAAATTTTTTTATTAAATATAATTATACACTTATATCTATATATATATATTCTCATTACGAAATATATTCTCATAAAAAAAGCCTCATTACAACTCCCCGAATGGCAACGCTAGAAAATCGACCAATGATTGCCGCTAAAAATGTCACATGCCAAATCTAGCTGAAATGGCTCAACACATAGCGGTTTTAAAAACAGAAACTAAAATAACCAGAGAGAGCATGAGCATTCTCACCAAATGTGATCTCTTCCGAAATTCACCCTATCAGCTGTGGCAATCTCATACTATTAAGCTAAGCAGAAGTGAGTAGTCTTTGTCGATAGATCTCTATTTTAGTAATTTGTCAAAAGCGCTTTTTTTTTCCACGAATTTCTATATTACTAATTTATTTGACGATTTTTGATTTATATCACGAATTTATTTGTTTTATTATTGTTATTAGTTATTCATTGAAAAATGAGTCTCAGTCCTGCTGTTGCACTTTAAGGTTTTATACTATAGCACATTTCTAATAGGTTTAACGAATTACATGTCATTTATTTGAATTCAAATTTATTTTAATGACTTAATATTTACTAAAAAGATGTAATTTTTTTTAAGAAAAAAAGTTTTTATGGATGGGTGATCGTGTAAAGCTAAAGGTGGTGGCGCTAGTGGTAAAATTGCTCTTTTAAGACTTCCGGGTTACTGCTTCCGATATATTTTTACGCCGCAGATTGAAAAAATTCGCCATCATATTATTGCATCATATCTTTTGCAGTATTTCACATGTACCGAGTTCTTTCTTTCAGCCTTTAAACTTCAGCATTATCATATTAATATTATAATCACTAGAATATTTTCTAATTAAGCTAACTTAAAAAGATATTCTTAGCGACATTTTATTCAAATGTAGCCAAATAAGGGATAAAACACAAAACATGGCAAACCTTAAGAATTATTCACAATGAGATATTAACTTTCCAAAATTTTTTTTGGCCTTACGACCTCTGAGAATCAATACATTTCTAAAAGCTATTATGAATGGTACAATTATGTTTAGATTTGAACCCAAATTACAATAACAGAGCTGCATAGAATATTAGGCTTGTTCACATATCGCCTCGTAGTTATAACATAAGCGGAGGGATACACCGGAAATTTTCTAAATTTCTTCCGGTTTAAGGACGTTTGTTATTGTTTACATTAGAGCACCCATCCATATGGATTTGAATGATTGTTTTGAATTCTTAGAATTTTGTGCATTTGCAATGTACCTAAGTTAGTAGCAAGCGAAGCGAGCTTGGTTTGCGAAGCAAACCATCTAAGATTGAGTAGCAATTTTCGGGGTTTGGCGAGTGCTAGCGAGCAGGGGGCGCAGCCCACTAGTATATTATAATTATACACTCTTAGTTATCTTATCAAATAAGACTTTGTGTAGATTAATTAATTTGCTTGTGATTTTCTTTACTAAATTTATCTGATATTCATTTTTTTCCCTTCCAATTTTAGCACCAGTTCAACAAAGCCAGCAGCTATCAGGTTGACTGAACATTTTGCTGAGGACCTTATGACTGTTTCTTTCTAGCCTTAAGTATTTAAAGTGTTTGAACTGAAATACTTTTTCATCCTTGTAAATTATAGTGCTTTATAGTAAACTCATACACTTAAAAGCACTGCATACTTTCCAGAAACTAATATTATATTAAGAAGAACATGGTTTCAAATATATTAAAATGTTTTCATGAGCTATTATTAAGTCAGAACACGCTTATGTAACTAAATGTCAATTGCATACATCTGTTATGTTTATTTCTGATTAATGAAAATTTTGCTTCAGTTTTCAATGATTTATCAGTTTTATAATTTCATTATACTTTCATGTTCAGGGGATTTCTAAATATTTTCTTCGTGTCAAATGGTAAATCATAATCAATGAATCCTATAGGTCATGTTTTATTAAAGTTCATGGGTGTCTGCTACTAGAAATTTTAATTTTAGCTATGCAATTACAAAAATCTTTTGTTCCCACATATTTTGATTTTTTTTTAAACAAAATGACATCTTAATTTTGTGTATCAGTTTTCTCATGCTTTTATAAATTGCTTTTTATTTTCATTAGGAAATATATTTTGTTGTTATTTTAAAAAAAATCTGCTTTTTGAAATATTTATTATTTCATTTTGCATTTTATTTAATATAAATACAAAAAGTTTTCTTTGTTATTATAAGAAAGATTTTCAGTAAAGCTTTGCTACACATTTAAAAATTTTGTCAGCTTGTTCTGTGGATTATATCCTAAATTAGTTTCTTTTCATATTATTAGTATATGTGTATGTGTAAGGCATTACTGAAAAATGTAAACTTCTATAGGATTTCATTCCGCAGAAAGTTTATAGTATCTTTTTCTTTTCCCTGGTTTTTCACTGTTAGGAAAATTTTTAATTCTCGCATTGTAGAGTTTTTTTTTTTCAGTTCAGCTGAAAAATTATTTCTTCACACAAAGCAGAATTAAACTATTTATTCAGCAATTAAATTTGAAACAATCACTTCAATATTCAGATTGTTATTTATTGTTATGATTTGGAACTAAAATTTAGAATTTAAAAAAATTGCTTTTTGTATTTTAGTTTTGTTACAGAAAATTATTTCTGATTAAAAAAAAGCATCTAGTTGGTATTCTTTATGAAAGTCTAAAACTGTCAGAAAGGCGGCATATCTTTAAAATATTAATAATAAGGTTATCGAAAAATAATGAAATACTGCTAACTTCACAATTAAAGGTTTTTACACCTGTTTTATAGGTTAAAAGAACATACAAACATATATAGCTGATAGTCTTTGATGGGATTATTCATAAAATTCACTTATCTGTGTTTATCTAGTGATTAAATTCTCTGTAAATTATGCTTATTTGTAAATTTTGTATTAGTAACTTTGTATTGTAAACTTTGATGATTAGATAAAAAGGCAAAAGTGGCAGCAAGTTAAAATATTAAAAGAGCTACAATGTGTGATGGTATTATAATCAAGGTAGACACTGGAAAAAAACAGAAGCAACAATAAAAGGCCAATACAAATGGTTAAAAGTATTAAAAAAAAGCTTAAGTTTAAGCCGATTAAATTCAATATATCAAATATTCTGGTGTACAACCCTTGTTTTTGATTTCAAGATAGCAAATTTCTGGTATGTCGGTTATGTAAATCGACCTCTGAAAAACCAAATAATTCTAAAATTTAAAGATAAGTATGTGATTTGTTAATTTAGTAGTATTAATTAAATTTGATTTTGTTATTTTATTAGTTCTTTTATGATTATAAAATTACTGTCATTTTAATTTCTTAACAAATTCATTAAATTTTTTTTCCAAGTGTTTTTCTTTTCAGTACTCGCTTATGCAAAAATGATATATTAAGTAACTTGAAAATAAATGCTATTATTTTAACTTGATTGCAACTATAAACTGTTTAAAATGCTGTTTTAATGCTTGATATTTCATTTTGAAAAAGATTTTCTCCCATTTCTTCCACTAAGTTGGAAGAAATATATTTCTTCTGATACAAGTTTTTTTTAGAGATTTTTCCATTGCTAAAGAAACCTGCCATTTTGGTTACAAAAGAAAAAGGCAAAAATTTTTAATTTAATATTGTGCTCTATTTCTTGATCTAAAACAATGTATTTTTAGATCCTTTTGCGTTAGTTTAAATGAACAAATTATTTAGATAGAATTTTTGTATTACCTTTCTCGCAATGTTATTAAATTTATAGTTTAATAAATGTGAATATTAGTTAACGAGCAAGTAGAAAATTATCTGTTAAAAATTTAGTGGTCCTTGCAAAATTGCAACTTGCGTATTATCCCATCTGATCATTTTCGCCAAATTTGAAAATGGTTCAAAATTAAATATGATATTATTTTTTGCAATAATTTGTATTTTGTCAATTTTTTATAATTAATTACTGTATAAAAATAAATTTGAAAGATACCAAAATTAATCTGACGTGATGTTGGTGAAAATGGTTGTCGGAATAATACGTAAGTACCTTAAAGCTTATAGCTTTTTATCCTGATAGCTGCTTTCACCTATGTATTCATTGTATTGTACATAAAGAGGTACAAATTTCTTGTGAAGTCTCATTATCATTCTTATAAACTAAACTACTTTTAAAAAAATATGTATGACATTATATTTGCATAAAATATCACAAAATTTTGTAAAATGACTTTATAGTCTTATAAAATAACATTTGCTTAAGTTTGTTTGTATAACTAGCTTTTTTTTGTATGTTTTTTTTTTCTTCCATATTTTTATTTTTATTGTAAAATATATTATCATAGCTGCCAACTTTTTGTATACCCAGATTCAGTATATGCATGGGAATTGGCTATTTAATTGTGTTTTCTTTTCAACAATGCTTGTTTTCCTCCTGAATTAAAATTGATTTTTAAACTAGGAAATTAGAAGCATTAACTTGTTGATCAGCTTAAAAAAAAAAACAGCTTTAATTCTTATCAGTTTTTAATCAACTCGCTTTAATGTATTTGTATTATTTACTGTACATTACTAGGCTCACTACGTTGTCTTAAATTTATCATTCATGTTTTAGGCTTATTATTTGTGTTTCATTAAGAAAAAAGTTCAATTTTGAAACTGTATTGACCAATTTTTACATTTCACCTTTACATTGTACTGTTTAATAGTATAGTTTTCATAAGAAAAGCACATATTTTTAAAATTTTGTCTGAGAAAAACATCTAATTTTTCTTAAAGCTAACTCATATAAAATGAGGAATATTTGTTGTATGTCTTACACCATTGTTATAGGTGTTGAAATGTACATTAGAACAATCTGAATAATAGTTTAAATTTTTGCAAAAAAATTTAAAACCAAAATGTGAATTTCTACATACCTTATTTGATCTTGATTATTCTTAGTAGTAGATAAAGTAGAAGTTGGCAGCTATGGAATATACTGCAAAGCTTCTTTAAACTAACCACCCCCTAATCAGTAAAGAATCATGTACAACAGTTATTGATTAAATATAAAAACTTTACTAAGTTCAATTTTTTTTTTTTGTCGGTCTATTTGCTACTTTTTAACGTTATTTTCTTTAATTTTTTATGCTAGGGAGATAATAATTTAATTTCATTATTCTGTTAAAATCCGTGATTCTGCTTATTTGAGTCCATGATTGCTTATTGTGTTTTGTTTTTAAAAAAAATCTTAATTCTAGAAAATTGATGCTCGAAATTTGTTTTAATGCTATTTGGTTTATTAATAAACACTTATTTGAGTGGTATTCTAAATTATTCAATACTAGTGGTTTTAATTTATCAACTCTCAATAATTACTACACAACTATATTTTAATAAAACAAGATTCTTAAATTCATAGAATCCTATTAATTTGATTTATATTTATAAAAATGAAGCTTTACTTCAAGCTCTTGACAAACTTTATTAGCACTTTGAGAAACAACATAAGTGCCTCCTGATAGATTTTGAGAAAAGTGTCTTGACAACTGTTTTCTATCCTTTGCTTATATTGTCTATGCTAAAATAATTTTAAAAAAAATTTATTTATTTTAAAAACATGCACTATGTAGCTTATAAGTGTCAAATATATAAACCTCAATTTTGAATTTTTTTGTCACATAATATTAATTTTTCTATTGCAGTATATTCATAATCATGCAGTATTCATTGCTGATACTTTATTTTTTATTAGTATATATTGTTTTCCTATTGAAGAATTTTAAAATAAATTAGTTGCTTTTGAGAATTTTGCAAGTTTGAAAACAATTCTTTGCTTACATGGGTGATTGGGATTTAAAAATCGATTGGTATTTGGTCTATAATTTTATCACTGTTTAAATAGAGAATTCTTTCTGCCACAGTGTCTAAGGCTGTCTGTTGCTATGGAAACAAGAAAATGTATATTTCATTGGGGAGCTTTCATACCTTTTGCATTAGTTCATCTATTTATCAAAAACCGAGTTAAAACCTGTCCTAAATGTTGTATAACTTACATCCGCCGTTAGCAAAAGTGCTCTTGACAATGAGATAGGAGAGATCTTTAGTAAAACAGTCAGTACTGTACACACTTTGTTTGCTAAATAGTGGAGGTGGTTGTTTACAGAAACTCTGCTGTGCATTTAAATGTCATGTTAAATTTTTATATTTTAAGCATTACTAATTGTTTGTTTGATTTGTAATTTCTGGACATTTGATTTATCACAAAAAGAGCATTTGATTATCTATTTGATAATATCTTTATGTCAGAGATCAGATGCAGTTGTTTGAACTTGTATTTTCTGTTTTTAAAGTTGTGAACACAATAGTTGACTTCTGATATATGGACATTGTATTTTTTTAAATGTGACTTACTTATGTTAGTTCATGAATTTTGTTGCCTAATTACAGATATAAAGAACTTTTCATCATTTGTAATGTTTTCTTTGTAGTAATTAATGGGCTCTGCCTTATGATCAATACTGCGTGTCAACTTCATGAACTTATACAAATCTGTTTAGAACGTTCATTTGAAATTATTTTTATCCTATACTCTGGATTTTATAGTTTAATTTTTAGATTAGTTCTAGCCTAAACTTTCTTGTTGCTATCACTTGCTAGCCCCTGAACTAGCTTTGATATTGATAAAGAAGCTTAAAATCAAGATAGAGTGAATTACTATTTGTTTTGTGTAAAAACTTACCCTGAAATCCAAAATAGCGGGTTTTGAGATGAGGGTTCTAAAGGCTATTTTAAAAAGCTTTTTCTTCATATGAAAGAACCCTTTTTAACTAGTAAGCTATTTTAAATACCATTGTGTTGTGGGTTGAAATGAGCTTTTGTGAGTTCTGTCTCAGAAACTATTCGTTCAATTTCGTACAAATCTTGCACTTTGAATTTGCATACTATTTAAGATAATGTCGAAGAAATTTTTTACCATAGAATCTAAATTTTTTGAACAATTATTAAATAAAATAATTAATATTAATTTTTACGTGCAATGTTCTTTAAACAAAAAAAAATTTATAATTGTGTGAAAACAGGTTTTGATTAACTTAAAATTATACTGATTCGGTGAAATACCCAAAAAGTGAAATTAACATTAAGGAGACAAATTTTTCGATCACTCACTTGACTTAACTATTGAGATAAATTATCCTCAGATTTTCAGCAAAAATGAGTCTCAAAGCCCCTCAAATGTTAATTAAGAAAGTCTCCTTTGTTTTATGTTTACACTTTTAAAATAGCAATCTAAAATTTAGGACTAAATTCGAGTAAATGATGTAACTATGTATAAAACAAAATTTATGTTTCAATTAATTTTATAATATTTTGAGTATTTTTTAAAGAATTTATTGTGTTTCCCTTCTGTGCTTAAAATATTTCCGATATTTTCTTTCCTTAAACCTAATTTTTATATTAATATTAAAAATTTTCCAAGTTTAATTGTTACCCAAATTATTTTGTGGAAATTTTTTTTCCTTCAAATTTTA